CTAAGGTTGACATACTGAACTCCAATAACCTGGGCTAGCCTTAGGCATTGTTTTCTTTTGGGAAACATACAAGAAGTTTAATATGATTTTACCCTTTCCCTTTTTGACCTGTCAGTTATGTTTGTACCAGCAACATAATTTGTCTAAACTAAAACTGACGCCTTTCAGTTTTAAAGCATGTATAAGGTCAGTCTAAACTGTTGGTTGTTTACTCCTGATTTATCTAAAATGTGTGTAATAACTACACTCACAGTAGTGGAACCTAGCTCTGTCCTATTTCTGTAATGTTTCATGCTTTTATGTACTACCTTTTATCCCATTATTACAGTTATTTTAAAATCCCCAAAAATGGTTTACTGTATTTAAACATGATTATTTCTCTTTACATGGCTTTCTTCAATAAGTCCCAATAACTTTGCATTGGTTTACTATCATACCCTGTGTGACAAAATGATCATCCTACCCATCAAGTTTTATTCAGATATGGTGAAGATCCTCATGGCTGTGGTTGTAGCAGGTTGCATTCAACATTGCCAGCCAGTTGATGTAAGGGTAAATGGCTTTTGGGTTCATGGGGCATTTGAATAGGCATTCACATTACATTTGCTTTTCAGAACAAATAGAAAGGTTTGAGAAATGCTTCCTTTGCAATGTTCACTCAGATCTCCAGGCAAAAGATAATAGCCCATTGCTATAAAGATAAAAAAGCAGTTATTGCTGCAATACTCGCCTTCGTTCAGAAGATCTCCCATGCATTACTTTTCTACTGCATGATGTCCTAAGTCTTCCAGGTTGAATGACAGCCAGCATCATTCAACCCCCTTCTTCTGATCCAGGGCTGTCATGGACCCACCCCCAGCCTGTGACTGGACAGTGAAAGAGAAGCAGCACAATGGTGAATTTATATATATTTTTTCAGATTGTTTCTAGTTAGCACATGGAATGTAGCCCCCAGCCAGCAGCAAGGTGTAAACAAATAATTTTGTTAGCAATTAAGTACATTTGGTTGCCAACAAAATATTTTAGTCTGCACTAAGCAACCGACAGTTTTTTAGTATGCATTAAGCCATCGGCAAAAAAAAAAGTATATTTATATAGATGTCCTTGGTATTATATCGTACATTATGTCCTTGATTATGTTTTTACCAGTTGTTTGAGATTAGCGATGGGCTGCCGCGTCCTATATACAGCGTTCTATATCAGAGTTGTGTACTAGCAGTCAGTCATACTGGTCTATTATAGCAGTCGATCAGAACAGTCGATTCTAACAGTCGATTATTGCAGTAAACATCATGTCAGAAAGGCCGAACGTTCGACCCCCATGCAGCAATAAGAGGACAAGCAGCCTCTGTGTCCACAAGTCCACAAGTCGTGGTCATCGTCGTCGTGGACAACGCTGGACGCCGTGATTGACCCTGGATTACGTCGGTGGATCAAATTTTTACGGTTTTTGTTTAATAAAAGACTTGTCAAAAACATGTCTTTTGCTTTTTTTTCCAAATAAAGGATTTTATCAAAAGTTTGGACTTTTTAATAACTATTTTATTCAACCCTTTAGTGAATGGGTAGGGGTACAAGTACCCCTTACTCATTCACAAGGGTGGGGGGCGGCATCTGGGTGCCCCCTTAATTAAAGGGGTACCCCGATGCAAATAAGCCCTCTTGCCTGCAGACCCCCACTTTTTTTTATTTGGTCCCTCCTAATATTCCTACCAGACCTAAAGGATCTGGTATTGTTTGGGAGGTGGAACTGCACGCTTTAAGAGTAAAATGTCACTTTTTGCTGCAGCAGGTTCTATACATCGTACAGATCCGCGACTTCACATGCAGTTTATGGGGACCCCCCAGGCACGATATTTGAAGGAATTTTTCAGTTTTATTCTTATCCTTTAAGTGATGTTAAAATCACTGCTCCTTTTTTTCTTGTTTTTTTTCCATTGATTTCTGTCCCCTAGGGCAGTACCCGGACCCCAATACACCTTTTATGGCCAATAAGTTGCATATAAACCCTTTTAAAAGGGACAATCCGAACGTTCAACCCCCATTGACTTGCATTGTGTTCGAATTCGTATTAGAACTTTTCGCCCATTCGAATGTTTGAATACGAACCAAACACGGGGGTGTTCGGCCCATCACTACTTGAGAGTGCTGGTTGCTTGAATGTCGGATAATGGAGAGTTTACTGTAAATAAAAACTGCATTCATTTTTGTATTTATATTACCTGAGTTCAGCTTTAACATGTTTTACATAGAATTACTCGGGTCAATATTTTTCCCCAGTTTTTTTGTGGTAAAATTAGGTACCTCGGCTTATATTCGGGACGGCTTATACTCGAGTATATACGGTAGATCAGTTTGGGAATTAATATTACTTTAGTATTCATCTGTCATAAACAGGCAATATTTTAACTATTGCAGATGCTGCTATGATTTTGTTACATTACACAATAAGAATAAACTTATATAGTTTTTATGCCCACTGAGTTCCCATCTCCATTATGCTTCTCATTCACCTTATTGGGTTTTATACTGGATTTAGTAGTGCACACAGTGATATAAGAAGGGTACGCCGCCAGGGAATCACCACCACAGAGTTGCCTCAGTGGGATCTGCTTAAAGGAGAACTATGAGGTGAGTGAAAATCACTCACCCTCAAAGTTCGAGTCGATGTCTGACAATTAAACTGTCACACGTCGGCTCAAAAGATCAGGAAGTGAGTGAACGCATACCGTCGCTCGCTCACTTCTCGGTCATCTCCCTGCATAGAGCGGTGACAGTCAGTCACCGCTCCCCGCAGAGATTCCCCCCCTCCCTGCTCCTCCAGCGCTGACTGGAGTAATGGACAGGGAATGGGCGGGTACAGCTGGCTCTGCCTCTAGATAGGCAGACCCAGCTGGGTGGATCTCGACAACATTGTCGGGATTTGTCCCGGCTGCGGCGGTCTCAGTATATAGCGAGCTTCAGCTCGCTATATACTGAGCTTTGGGTCACGGGAGGACACTAGTATATGTCCTCCCGTGACCCTTAAGAGAACTATAGGGAAAAACACTTACCCCATAGTTCTCTTTTAATTCTTCAGTCCGAGGCTAGGGCATGCAGAGCAAAACTACCCTGCTTCTGATTAGGATACTCCAACAGGAAGTGGAAGCCCAAAAGGGCTAACCCAAAGTTTACCATTCAATAACAAAATTAAACAATTGGTATTCATATTTTAGTAAATAATAAGAATTAGCATTGTAAAAGTTTCTTTTCCTTTTTAAAAAAAATAGTAACATTTTATCTTCAAACCACTAGCCCCCTTATGGTTATAGAAGAAAACGGACAAGGATTACAAGGTAGTTGCCTCTTATCTAGGCGAATGGGCTGCCTGAAAGTTTTCATTCTTAACAGTGGATGGCACAATGTGTTACAAATTTGGTCACCTCTGCTAATGCTGACTGCCCATACATTTCACTGGACGGCTGTTGTGGCGCCTTCCATGTTGGCTGTTTAATATCTGAGTAGGTAAGTTTTCAGTAGCAGTAGCTCATACAGGGGCCAACTGCCAGTTTAGAAAGTCTAAAACAATCTCTGCAAATAATTAATATATTTGTCATTGAACATATCTCATTCAAGCTGGGTCAACACTCATCAACTACAAACATGAAATACGTGTCCTGATAACTTGCTTTACTTATTTTCTATTGTAAAGCAAGTTGCCAAACCCCCGAGAGGCATTACCGATGCCATTTGCACTGACACCTATTGCTATGATGTGCATGCATTGGGGCTGATCTGAGGTCTGAAGGTGCATGCATTGGGGCTTATCTGAGGCCAAGAGTGCATGCATTGGTGCTGATCTGAGGTCTGAAGGTGCTTGCATTGGGGCTGATCTGAAGGTACATGCATTGGGGCTGATCTGAGGTCTGGAGTGCAAGCATTGGAGCTGATCTGAGGTCTGGAGTGCATGCATTGGGGCTGATGTGAGGTCTGGAGTGCAAGTATTGGGGCTGATCTGAGGTCTGGAGTGCAAGTATTGGGGCTGATCTGAGGTCTGGAGTGCAAGTATTGGGGCTGAAATGAGGTCTGGAGTGCAAGCATTGGAGCTGATCTGAGGTCTGGAGTGCATGCATTGAGGCTGATCTGAGGTCTGAAGGTACATGTACTATGGTTGATCTGAGGGCTGAAGTGCATGCATTGGGGCTAATCTAAGGTCTGAAGTACATGCATGGGGCTGTACATCTTTTATGTGTGCAGTAGGTTTTGTGCAATCAATTTGTGCAGTAATAGTTGTACTGCTACTGTCAGATTAAACTCACTAACTATGATATAATAATGAGTTCACCTTGCCATCAGCAGTACAACTATAAGTGGAAAAAACAAAGACTACAATATGCTATTCTTCACTGGCAAACTGGTTATCTAAAACTTCTTAACATTTAATAAAGGCAAATAAGCTGTTCACTTTACATGGGAATTTGCACTATGCAATGGAAGTTTCCCTTAGCTTGATTAATGTAGGGAAATTTCACTTTGCAAAAAATGCCCAAACACATGCAAGAAAAATAAAAAAACTGTATTTTTTTCTTGCACATGATTAGGTGATGGAAGTCAACAGAGCTTCACTTCATTCACTAAACTAATGGGAAACTTATCTTGCAAAGTGCAAATTCCCTTGCAAGGTGAGCATCCAATTTGCGTTTAGTTCATCAACCCCTTAATCTGCAAAAGGGTTGCTGATCCCTAATTTATTGTGAAATATGAATGAATATTGAAGAAATATGACCTTCTCCGTCATCACAATCACCTCAAGGTCCATTAACTGACCCAAAATACAATATGCGTGGGTAATGCAATCTGATTATAATTGTTTGCAACACACCCATGGTGTGTTACCTAAACAGAGGGAGAGGGAGTGGAAGAGAAAAAAAAAAAAAGTAGGAGAAGAGGAGGAAGATATGAAAGACTGGGCTGTCTCCCTTTGCTCACCTCTTCTGAAACCTGGGCAGAGTCAAGGAGGCAGTGACATCAGCAGGCTGGGAGAATAAGGTGGGAGAGCAGGGACAGAGTGGACTTACAGTGCCAGGATCTGAAGCCTGTGTCTGCAGCAACCAATAGCACAGAGTCACCATGCAGAGATCCCCGTTAGAGAAAGCCAACATCTTTTCCAAGCTCTTCTTCAGGTAGGTGACTTTCAATGTGCTGCATTCCGATACATAGAGGCAATCAGCGCAGGGACACAAGCCCTCTGTCATCAGCGCTAGAAACTTTATGCTCTGGCTTATGAGCAGGGGACAAAAGGTATTTGGCAGGCGACAAAGTGCCATTTCTTCCTTCTGCTGCACCTGCGGCTTGACTGATTACCTGTAATAGATCGCTTGTAGAAGCCGTGAGAATCCTGCCTTGGTAGGGCTGTCTGACGACCTTTGATTAATGACTTTTGTTGGATAGATCTTTCTGATCTGTGCCCGGAACATAACGCTGTGCTTATAGATGTGCTATTGTTCAGCCGACAATGCAGGCGTGCTGCAATCTTGGAACCTAGCATGTCAAATGAGCAGACACAGTCTTCTTGTTCTACAAAAAGAGGCACATAGTGATATTAATGTGGATGAAAGGATAATCTGGGTATTAATCAGGAGGTGATCACAGGGGCAGGTCCAGGGGCACACGAGCAATTTTGTGTGATTGGGAATAGCTTTCAGCATGCCACAGGGCATTTGTGCTGGCTTGTGTGTGTCATAACAGTGACACCTTTTTTTTCTTCTTCTTTGCTTTCACCATCCTGGGAATTTATTATCATAACACAGCTGTTTTGTTTTTTTTTAATCAATATCATGCTATTGTTTCTCCTGCTTAGGTACAATATCCTCTACCTTGTTGTTACTAATTAATTTATAAATAAATCACATTGCTGCTTTACATCATAACAAGAGGAAGCAATCATTTCCTGCTATGTAATGGGCATTTCATTACAA